GGAATTAATTTCCTCCTTTATATTTGACATTTTGGTCTTTCAAGTTCCTTCCCTCAGTCTCTGCAAGTAACCTCTGGTGCTTTTCAGTTCCACTTCTTGCGCTTTTCAGTTCCACTTCTTGCATTCTGTTTTATAGTCTATATTTTTATATTCTATATTTTTATATTCTATATTTTTCCAATATGCCAAGAAATGCCTCTTAATTTAAAGTATCTCCCAAAACAAAAGATAGCGAGTCCAGGAGCCTCAAATCAGGTTTATGTTGTTGCACATCTTCCTTGGCCAATCTGTGCCTTTGCTAAGTGACCCTGAGGAGTTAAGTTTTTGTTTTCTAAATGAGTTAGTTGTAGAATGGTGCTGATCAGAGCAGGAACACTGAGCTATGACTTGTGCTCTGACAGCTTATTTCCTTCAGATTATTCTGTGTTGCTAAGTAACAGCACTTGGCATTTCATGTTAAACCCTATGGTGTACAATGCATAATTGATTTAACATTTGCACATTCCTTTTCCACTTCAGTCAATTGAGGAAAATGAAGTTTACCTGCCTAATGATGAGCTCTGGATCTATGAAATGGATAGTGGCTTATGGTGAGTTGCATAATTTATAATTGATTGGCATGTAAAGTTGATTTTTGCATAGATGACAATTAGCTGCAGTGAAAAGGCTTCAGTGGCAGGAGTCAAACTGGTCATGGTAAATAGGTGTTTAATGTAAAGACTGAAAGACACACATATGTGCTTCCAAATTAACTCTAGGAAACACTTTCATTCCTGAGGTCCAATTGTGTTGTCCCAGGGAATGCTGGCAATGGTTGGCTTAAGGCTCTGTCAAACCAGGTGCATTTATCTGAGAGTTACTTTTGGCTTAGTCCTTTGTCCTTTAACTGCTGTGTTAGAAACAAGAGTTACACCCTGAACACTTGGGTTCCTGCTCTGTTTACAGGTATAGATTATTTTGTGTGGTTACTTAGTTGTGCAATATTGTGCAATACAGAAATAGCTCATAACTTCCCCCTTTTCCCCCTGCTTTCTCTTTTTTCCTTGCTTCCCCTTTCTCCCCTCTTTTTCCTCCCTCTCCCATCCTTTTTGCTCTTCTCCCCTTTTTTTTTCTTCCCTTGTTCCCCCCTTTTTCCTCTCCCCTTCCCCCCCTTTTTCCTCTCTCCCTTCCTCCCCCCAATGTCCCAGTACAGCTGTTTGTGTGCTCCCACAGGAACTTGGATCAGGGAAAGTGATCTGGGTTAAATATAACTTTTATTTGTTCAGGGTTATATTTAACCAGGATCTGCTCCTGATCCTCCCCTTTTTTTTTCTTCCCTTGTTCCCCCCTTTTTCCTCTCCCCTTCCCCCCCTTTTTCCTCTCTCCCTTCCTCCCCCCAATGTCCCAGTACAGCTGTTTGTGTGCTCCCACAGGAACTTGGATCAGGGAAAGTGATCTGGGTTAAATATAACTTTTATTTGTTCAGGGTTATATTTAACCAGGATCTGCTCCTGATCCCAGGCAGCTCACAGGAACAGC